ATGGATCTCTTTGAAGAATATCAAGTGTGCCATGGACTGCCAAAAGAACAGATAAATCTAGAGGGTCTGCACAAAAGAGAACCACCCTCAACAAGATGGATTGGCACTGTGACTGCAAACACAGGCTCAGACAATAGCTGTGAGGATGGTGCAGGACTTGGCTACCTGGGGTTGCTATGAGTCAGAATTGAATCTGCTACACCTAAGAACAAGAGCAATTTAAAATTTACAATTACAGTCAGAACTCTCCTTAGAAGTGGGGATGACAAGACTTCCTCCCACATACTTTGGACATGATATGAGGAGGGTCCATTCCCTGGAGAAGTATGTTATGCTTGGTAAAGTAGAGAGTCAGCAATAAAGAGGACGACCTCCAAGGAAATGGATTGACAGAGTGGCTGCAGCAGTGGGCGCAAGCAGAGGAATAATTGTAAGGTTGGTGCAGGACCGGACAGTGTTTCGTTCTGTTGTATATGAGGGTCTCTGAGTGGTACTTAACAACAATAACAACAACAGTAGCAAATGCCAATATAGAGAAGTCTCTAGAAACAGGTGATCAGAGCACCCAGAAATCAGGATAAAAGTGGGTAAAGGTTATGGAAAGGCAGACCAGAAAGAAAGAAAGAAAATAAATAGAATGTTTAGTGCCGTCAAGTTGGTTCCGACTCATAGCCACTCTGTGTAGGGTTTCTGAGGATTGGCTGGTAGGCCTGAACTGCCGATCTTGTGATTTAGACTGATCTTGCATTCCTATGAAATGACTGAAATGATTTTCAATCACATATGAAACTATTTTCAACCTTCTTGAAAGTAAGAGAAATGCAAATTAAGGTAACTGACTCTTAGGACATTTTGCCTCTCCCCTTCCATCTGTAAACCAGATTGTGCTGTGGTCAGTTATTGCCTTTCCTTTAAGGACCTCTAGATCCTTTGAGTAGAAAATGGTGTTTAGAAACCAAAATTTGGGCATAAGATGTGTTAATTGCTATTGGTGTGTCATTGCTTCTGGTTCCTCTTAGTAAATAACACAAGGAAGTGTGTGTGTGTGTGTGTGTGTGTGTGTGTGTGTGTGTGTATGTGTATTTAGATGTATCTATTAAAATCAGTCAAAAACAGTTCACACAGATTCCCCCATTTCACACCCAATACCACAATGCACATTCTGGTCTTCTCTCTTTCTATGTTTTAACTCTTCTCAAAGAAACCTTGTGGTTAGCAGTCCAGTGCTTATCCCACAGTGCCACCAGGGCTCACTACCCATCAGTACCAGTCAAACCCACCTACTGCTATTGGGTCCATTCTGAGTTATAGCGACCCTGTTTAGGGTTTCTGACGCTGTAAATCTTTGTGGGAGTAGAGAGCCTCATCTTTCTCCCTCAGAGTGGATGGTAGGTTTAAACTGCCAACCATATGGTGTGCAGTCCAGTACTTATCCTACAGTGTCATCAGAGATTCTTGCCCATCAGTACAGTGCTTCATTAAAAAAAAAAATCTATGAAGGGACTTCCAAACATCCATGGAAAAAGTCCATTGCCTTTTCGTTCTATTTTTCCATTAACTTTTTCCATGAACCATTCAACAGTTACTCTAAAGTCAGGACCAGGGGATAGGAAACTAGAAACCAGGAAACAGAACAACCAGAACACAATAAAAGAGAATGTTGTGAAAAATAAAACTAACACCACTGAACAACTTGTATAGAAATTGTCAAACGGGAACTTAATTACTGTGTAAATTGTCACATCTGCTGCACAAGACTTTTTTCAAGTGTTGAAGAGCAAAGATGTCAGCAAGGACTAAGGTAAGCCTGACCAAAGCCATGATATTTTCAATAACCTCATATACATGAGAAAGCTGGACAGTGAATAAGGAAGACCATAGAAGAATTGATGCCTTTGATTTATAGTGTTGGAGGAAAATATTGAAAGTACCATGGACTGCCAAAAGAACAAACAGATCTGTGTTGGAGGAAGAGCAGCTAGAGTGCTCCTTGGAGGCCAGGATGGCCAAACTTCATCTCTCATACTTTGGACATATTGTCAGGAGAGACTAGTCGCTGGAGAAGGATATCATGTTTGGTAAGGTGAAGGGTCAGAGAAAAAGAGGAAAGACCCCAGCGAGATGGATTGGCAAAGTGGCAGCATCAATGGGCTCAAATGTGGTAACAATTGTGAGGTTGGCCCAAGACCAGGCAGTGTTTCGTTCTGTTGTGCATAGGCTCACTATGAGTTGATACTGACTCGATGGCACCTAACAAATTGTTACCAAAAACACAGTAAGATATTGTTTTTAAATTTGCATTTATAAAGAGATCATTATTCCTCTTTCAATAACGATAACTTTTAATTTTACTGTTTCTTATTAAAAATTCACCCTACAAGAGCAGAATATACATTTTACCCCCAACCCATGCCCATGGAATGAATGTTTACCAAGATGAACTAAATTCGGGGTTAAAATCAAGCTTCAGTAAATTGATTTATTTTCAACATTTTTGTGATTTTGGAGAAAATTTACACAGCAAAATAGGGTTTCATCTAACAGTTTCTATACTTCTTATTCAAGGATCTTGGTGGCATAGTGGGTTAGCTATTAGGCTTGTAACAGAGAGGTCATTGGTTCGAATCTACACAGTCATTCTATGGGAGAAAGATGAGGTTGTCTGCTTCTATAAGATTGACAGGCTGGGGAGCACTACAGGGGCTCTTTTACTCTGGCCTGTATGGTCTTTGTGAGTCAAAATTGATTCAATGGCAGTGGTTTATGTATTAGTCAGGAATGTTGTGTATGCTTTACACAGTGTGTTAACATTCTCATATTTCTATCCTGGTGGTCCTGCTTCCATTAATATAATGTCCTTGTAGCACGTTCCCTTTATTGTCTTTGGTCCAAGGTAAGTGTTTACCATTGATTCATTTAGATGGTTGTTTAGAGGAGTACTCACTCATGAGCGATACTATTTTATGAGCCACTCTGTCTTTTGGTGCATAGGCGACCACTGGGATTGGTTTAACTTCCAAGTTTTAAAGGTATCTCAGGGCTGTAGTTTTGAGACTTTTCTCGTCTCTACTGGTTTAGTTAGCCTGGATTTTTTAAAGAGTTTGAATTTTGTTCTACATTTCCTCCCTTCTGTCTGGGGCCATCTATTGTGTTCCTGGTCTGAATGACCAGTCCTGGTTTCCAGGCGCCATTCAGTTCTTCTGGTCTCAGGGTAGACTGTCCATGCTGAAGACTAGCTTCTCCCTTGAGTCTTTGATTTACTTCTTTCTCTTTTGCTACTGAAGCATTGAGACCAGTTGCTGTATATCTCAAGCCTCAACACATGTACTGGCATGGAAATCATACTTGAGTATATTTCTTCATCACAAGAAAGTTAAATAAAAATCACTATATTAAAAGTACTTAGAAAAATCCCAAATATTTGGAAATGAAGCTGTATATTTCAAATGTGTATGAATGTGCTTTTAAATAAGTCAGAGGAAAAGTGACAAAGGAAATTAGAAATTACCATGGTGTGGATGTAAATGATATTCAGATAAAAAAATATATTAACAGATAGATAGAGATTTGAACCCTCAGTGCTCTAAATGGCGACTTCTGAAATTCCTTCCTTCCTTCGTGGACTGGCCACACCACTGTTTCTCAGTAAGACAGGCATGGCCTGTGTGGTTTCTGGAATCTCTTCCTTTCTTCGTGGACTGGCCACACCACCATTTCTCAGTAAGACAGGCACAACCCATGTAGCTGCTGAGAGTGTTGCCCTGACCCCAGTGATGCCTGACCTGGCCTGGCCAAGTAGACTCTCTTGGTTATCCCAAGTGTGTCAGAGTAGAACTGTGCTTTACTAAGACTAGCCTTTCAGGCGCAGATGGGCAAGTGCCTCTGGGCCAGTTCGACTCTCCAGGATTTCTGTTAGTAGATGACACCTCACCCATTTGCTTATCTGGGAGCTTTTACCTATATAATTAACAGGCTTGACAATTTTTTCCTCTCACATGTACCACTTTCCAAGGCCATGTTCCAGGAACTTTGGAGGGGAGCATATGGAACAGTAACAGACAAGTTTAAGTTACGTGGTTCATCTACTGACATTTGATACAGTCCTGTCAAATCTGCTTCCTGTGCCTCAGACTCACCTGGGGAATTCTGGTTTACCCACCTCCCGTCATTTTAGATTTCTTTTGCATCTTCAGTTCCCTTCAGTGACTTTGTTCAGTGGAGAGGCTTGCGGGTTTAAACCACCAACCCTGTAGTTAGCAATCCAGTGCTTATGCTACATCACCACACCAGAACTCCTTGGAGGAGGCAAAAAGGGCCTGTTTAAAGGTATTGTTGTTGTTAGAGTGCTGTCGGCTGTCCAGTCAGTTCTGAAACATAGCGACCCTGTATATCGTTTCGGAGGAGCCACTGGTGAGCTTGAGCTGCTGACCTTGAGGTTCAAACTGACCTTTAAAGCTGTGAAGGAGAGAGAAGTGAGCTGGGGATGGCCCCTCTGCTGTGGTGCTAGATGGTTAGATACATGGTGGGGATAGTGAATGAATAGTGAAAAGAAAGACTCGAATATTCCTTTTCCTTTTTAGGGAGGTTAGTCCTGTGTCTATGGCTTAGTATTTAATTAGCTCCATGGTGACTCTTATCAACACTTCTATACTGCCCACATATTTTATTTCTTTGGTTGTTTTTCTGGTTACCATAGTGACCAATGGCTCTAGGTGCTAGTAACCACTAGCTCCTCTTGTCATACATTTTTTTCAAAAAGAGGAAGGTGGGAGATTGTGAATAGGGAAAGAGTGCCTGAAGCAAGGAGCCAGGTATGCTGGTACTCTGCCAGCTTGTTTCATTTTCTTCTTGGGTTTCATTAGCCTCTTCAAAGTCTTTCTTTCTTTTTGAGGTAGGGGAGGAAAAGGTGAGATAAAAAGACATTACATTGAAAACACCTTGTAAGGCAAAGTGTCCATTTAATGACCATCCTGAACTTGTTTTAAATTCTTTCCCTTTAGGTTTCTTGCTATTTAAGGATTTTTGTTTGAATGAAATCAATGAAGCGGTACCTCAGGTGAAGTTTTATGAAGAGGTAAGAAGTCACTATTTAACTAATAATACGTTTCATTTCAAAAGCATATTTCAATTGTCTTCTGAAAACTATTAAGATCAATAATGCCATCTCTCAGCTATTTAGAAATTCATTGCAGGTAGCCAGTAGTACAAGGTATTCTGCTTATTAAGAGATGCCAACAACATCTGTTTTTTTAAAAAAAAATAGGCAAATCATCAAAACGGGCATATCTTGGTGTATTCTTCAAGACATTGAGAGCTCTGGAAGTGATGAGGAATCTTAGGGATAAAATTCCAGAAAGGGAGTGTTATTTAGAGATGCAGTGGCAGTTACCAGTCATTTGTTTTGTGAATACTTGCTGATTCTGGAAGCATTTTGTGGTATCCTGGGGCTGGGATGGCAGATGAAAGACTGGGAGTAGGGTAAGGGTGTTCCCATAGCTGATTTCATGAGGTGAGACCTGGTGAAATATAGGGGTGCAGGGTAACTGAAGGCCAGAAGCTTGGAAAAGACACATCAAAGCCTACCAGAATGTTATAGTCCTTAGGAAACATAGGTCTGCTGAGGACCAAACCACCCAAATCCAAACCTACTGCACTGAGTTGATGTTGACTCATAGTTGACTCACAGTACCATGGAGTCGGTTCCAACTCATAGCAACCCTGTACAGGGTTTCTGAGGCTGTAAATCTTTACGGGATCAGAATGCCTCATCTTTCTCCCATGGAACAGCTGGTAGTTTCAAACTGCTAACCTTGCGGTTCACAGCCCGATTCGTAACCACTACGCTACCATAGTGACCCAGTAGGACAGAGTAAAACTGCCACTCAGGGTTTCGGAGCCTGTGGATCCTTAGGGGAACACCTTGTCTCATCTTCCTCCCATGGAGTGGCTAGTGGGCTTGCACTGCTGATCTTCAAGTTAGCAGGCCAACACATAACCCACTCTACCATGGGGACTCTTTCTGCTGGGAACCGGAGTAGAAAAACAGAAGAGACAAGGGAAAAAAGCCCTAGAAGGAGAGGGCCATTTGACTGAAGATCTGTATCTCTTTTCACCTGGGGCAGCTACTTACTGATTCAGGTACAGTTGAGAACAGAAGGCTGTTTCTAGAAGGCAGAGCAAAAGTGTTAAAAAAAAGAAGAGAGACAAGATTAGATGATTCCCCAAATATGTGCTCAGTGTCCTTGCCAAGGTGTATGACAAGCTTTGAAACTGAGAGGAAAGGGAAGCTAAAGACCACATTTTTTTTTTTTTTTAAAAAGCTTTTATTGTGAATTGAGTGATAGTTTACATGGGAGAACATCAGTTTTGCACTCATCCTGTCGTATTTCATTTCATTACAATGATTACAATCCCCTCCATACATTCAACAGTATTTGCTTCTAGTCCCTCTGTGGTTTTTGTTTGTTTGTTTGTTTTTGAATGTACACAAAAACACTCAGGAATATATAATCATCGATACAACCCAAGGGCGCATTCTGTAAGCCTGCCTCCTCTCCGCCAGCTTATAGCCTTTCTTTTTCTATGAGTCTAGAGTCCTCAGCTGTTCTGCCTCTCGGTGTCATCATCTGTGCCTCTGTCTCCAGTGTCGCTGCTTCTCTGGATAGGGTCCCACATTCTGCTCGTGCTCTTCTTGATGGTCCCAGGGTCCTCTGTTCCTGGAATGTAAGATTAACTACTCCCCACTTTATGCTACAAAGTTTCTACTGGTACAGTTGTGATAATTGCAGGTAGTCATAATACCACAATTACTCACTATTGAATCATCTGACCACCTTTTAAGGGCAGAACTGGGTCAAGTACAGAGATGATGATGGTGTTTCATTGAGATCAATGAAGGGTGTTGCCCTTAGAAACAGGGTCAAACCAGAGTAAACAGAGTTGTAAAAACAGAAAAGATAACCCAGTCCCTGCCCAGCTCAATCTCTGATTGGATGATGAGTCCTAGTCTCCACTTACCTGAAGAGTTCAAGGGGTATCCTCTTTTTTGTGTAGGTGGGGGATAATAGCTAAAGACCACACTGCTCACCATACAATTAAGGATTCATAGACATGCTAATAGACACATCATGTGATTCAAAGGCAAGAGAAGCAGACTCATAGATGAACCAAACAGTGGACTTCATTGATAAGTACTTAAAAATTCCATGTTTAAGGAGGCCTTCCGGTGCTTCCCGGACCAGGCAGCTCAGGTAGGGCAGGTTCCAGGGAAAAGGGGCAAAATCGTACATAGGAAACCTCTGTCTAGCAGACAGACAGCGTTTAAGCAAACATAAGATCTTATATTTCAACATTCTGAACTCGTTTTTTTATAAAAGATCAAATTGCTGAGAAATTACAGGCATTTTGAGCTTTTGCCTGCCTGCACGTGGCTCCCGCTCCCCGCGACCGCGCTGGTGAGTGCCTCTGCCCCCTGCAGACCTTGGAGTGCAGGGCTAGAGCAACGCCATTTAGAAGGCTGCATCAGAGAAAAGGAAGCATAAACTAACAAAGCCGAATAAATAAGAGAGGGATATCGGTGTGGATATCAGGAAATTCGGGGTACCCACGGTACAGAGAGACTGAGAGAGGCATTTTATACGTCATCAGATACAGAAACCACCTCCCTGCAGCATCCCCTCCACCCCCCCACCGCCCTCTACTGCCGAGGCCTAGACCAGCCCTCTGCCAAGCCGCTGAGGCTCAGGAATGCCCAAGGCACAGGCCCGCCCACTGAGGCCAAGGCCTGCCCCGAGGCCCAACCCGCCCACAGGCTGGTCACAAATGCCCAGGCCCAACCAAGGCCCAAATCACCTAACCGCCGCACGGCCCAGGCGGCCCACGGTCTGGGGCCCCCAAGGCCAAACCCACCACGTAGCCCAGTCATGGAGGCCCAGGGCCCCTCAGGGCCAACCTGCACCGTAGCCCGGTTGCCGAGGCCCAGTGCCCTTGAGACCCAATCCGCCCTCAGCCTGGTCCCAGAGGCACAGGTCCCCCGAGGCCCAATCCGCCCAAACAGCCCCCCGAGGCCCAAGCTGCCCGATGCCCAGCTGCTGATACCCAGGCCCCCTGAGGCCCAAATCACCTGCCCGAGGCCCAATCCTCCTGCAGCCCAGTCGCTGATGCCCAGACCCCCAGAGGCTCAAACTGCCCGCCCTAGGCTCAACCCACCTGCCCAAGGCCCAAACAGCCCGCCGCCGAGCCCCAGGCCCAACTGAGGCCCAAAAAAGTTACTCTGAGTTAAGCAATAAGAAGAGGGAAAAGGGAAGACCACATCCTGATCACATCTTCCTGGAGGTAATCAGAAAACGTAAAACATTACCAAAA